GGCACATCCATGAATCAGACTTGTTTGTCCAGCATATCCTGCAGGATTAATATCTGGATAATTCGGAGTCAGCATCTCAAACTCGCTGTTGTGCTCCTCAAACCATTCCTAAACCATTCCTGCTTTGTGGCAGGGTGCATTATCCTGCTGAAAGAGGCCACTGCCATCAGGGAGTACCGTTCACATGAAAGGATGCACATGGTCTGCAACAATGCTTAAGAATGTAGTACGTGTCAAAGTAACATCCACATGGATGGCAGGACCCAAGATTTCCCAGTAGAGCATTGCCCAAACGTCACACTGCCTCCACAAGCTTGCCTTCTTCCCATAGTGTATCATGGTGCCAGGTGTTCCTGGTAAGTGATGCACACGCACGTGGCCATCCACATGAGGTAAAAGAAAACATGATTCATCAGACCAGATCACCTTCTCGCATTGCTCCGTGGTCCATTTCTAATGCTCACGAGTCCATTGTTGGTGCTTTAGGCAGTGGACAGTATTCAGCATGGACACCCTAACTAGTCTGTGGTTATGCAGGCCTGTACACAACAAACTGTGATGCTCCTTGTATTCTGACACCTTTCTATCAGAACCAGCATGTACTTTTTGGGTAATTTGAGCTACAGTAGCTTATCTGTTGGATTAGACCACTAGTGCATCAGTGAGCCTTGGCCACCAGTAACCCTGTCGATGGTTCACCACTGGTCCATCCTTGGATCACTTTTGATAGATACTGACCACTACAGACCAAGAACACCCCACAAGGGCCTCGTTAATCCTAATATGGCTCTCATCAAACTCACTCAGATCCTCACACCTGCCGATTTTTCCAGCTTCTAACTCTTCAGCTTTAAAGACAAAATGTTCAATTGCTCCCTAATATATGTGAAAAGCGCGTAGAGATCAGGACAACAGAAAAAAGAACAAATAACAAACAGAAGTCGAAGAGACGGCCCGCCATGAACACTGGCGCCATCTTGGATGAGTGCCATATATCCGACCCACTAACAGCTGCCACAATGAAGAGATAATCAGTGTTACTCACTTCACCTGTCATTACTCTTAATGTTATGCCTGATCAGCGTATAGTGCTAATTTGGTAAGGACTGTGACATTTGAACGCACCTAAGCCCTGCAGGCAGTCAGTCTGAGCTTCCTTTTGTCCCATCTCTCAGGTGGAAGAAGTTCCTGGAGACTTCACTCAGTCAGATCTGGCCACTGATGATGTAATGCTCCTTGACACCTGGGATCAGGTGAGATGATCTTTCTGGCATGTGTGAAATGTCACTTTCAGAACCTTTGTAGGACATACTTTTAAAATTATGACTTTTTAAATCTCTCCCGTCTCTAGGTCTACATTTGGATTGGCAATGATGCCAATGACGTGGAAAAGGAAGGAGCTCCCAAAATAGGTTTGTTACATTACAACTGAAAAAAAGTTAAAGAAAAAGATGATTTCCAAAGCACACGCAAGATACTGTTTGACAGCATCTTGCATGTGAAACAGAATCAGAAAACTTATTGTGCTTAAGTATTTTAAGTTTCAAATCAAAACCCAAAAACTTTAAGATCAGAGGTAAACACCACCTCTCTTCACATTCTCATCCTCCATCTCTCCACCTGTCCCTTCCCCTCTCTTCCTTCTTGTTGTGCAGCAAAAGAATATGTGGACTCGGATCCCTCCGGTCGCAAAGGAATCCCCATCACCACCATCAAACAGGGAGCAGAGCCTCCAACTTTCACTGGCTGGTTCCAGGCTTGGGATCCCAAGATGTGGGACACAGATCCATTGGACCGAATCCGTGCCCGCTTCTGAACACAGAACTCCCGGCTCTCCGTCTCTGTCTGACTCCTTACCTATCCTGCAGTCCCTAATGCTGTTTTTATTCATTTTAATTTCAATCCCCAAGTGCCAAAAACCAATGCTATCGTCGTTATCACCCTTAATAGCTGCCTCTGCAACAGTGCAGTGTACTGAGCTTCATAAACAGGAATGAATCACATCTGCATGCAAACGATGGCTTCTGCTAGCAGTTATGTTTAATTGATCAAAATGGTTGATTGATCATGTCCAAAAGCCTTTACATGTTTAGCAAATACCCACTGAGGGCTCTAATAGGAATGAAAAAAATACGAAAGCCATTTAGGCAGCTGGACAAATCCTCTGTTTCTGTTTTTTTTACTGTTCTACTTGTGTGTTCAGAAGCAGCCATTCTCTCATGCTTTCTTTACAGTTTCTATATCAAAACAGCTTACTTCTTCAGTACACATAAATGCATGGTGTTTTATGATTGATAATGGAAAGTTGTATACTTGCTATGAGTTGCACGGAGCTTTTTTGGGGTGGAGGAATCTGTGCTCATGAATTTAAGAGTCACACAATGGTAAATGGCCTGTATTTATAATGCGGTTTTCTAGTCCCCAAGGACCCCAAAGTGCTTCACACAATCAGTCACCCACCCATTCACACAATGGTATGTGTATGTCACATGTTAAAAATCTATTAAATGGGATTTTCACATAGATGACTTTTAAATAAAGCTCACAGTGTTTCAAACTTGTGGTTATTGAGCATTCTTGAGCCTTGAAAGCCAGTGCACTGCACCACCAGCGTATTTATTATTCTGCCTACAGAAACCGCAAGGTCTAACAGCCACATATCACTAAATGTTTTCCCTCTGTTGGATGGGGAATAAAGCAAAATGGGATCTTGTTGCAACAGGAGTAGAAGTAGGAAGAAGAAATGAAAACTCTGCTCACAGCTGCACTGTTCTCCAGGATGGCAACACACTTTAATAGAGGAAGTGGCCTTAGCACAATTTTTATTTTCTGCACTGCTGTGTATACTCACATTTGGGTACAGTCAATGTTATCTCCTCCAGGAGAGGACACAAACCCCGCTTCAGGGGGATCAAAAGCTAGTGTACTCCAAGTGCCAGCCCTTTGAAGCTTGGATAAATGGGAGGGCTGTATCAGAAAGTGCATATGGCATAAAATCTGCACCAAATCAAACATACAGAGCCAACCACTGTGGTGGATTCTTGGAAAATAAGGGAGCAGGTGAAAGGGCCTTATTTAGTAAAATACAACCTAAAATCTTTGGATTACTGGAAAACCAATTTAAGATAAGATAAGATATAGTACTGTGATTATGAGCACTGGTTACAAAAACACAAACATTTAAATAATTTCATATGAAAGATTGTGTGCGTGTGCCTAATAAGACGGAGGGCACAGGCCACCAAAGGTCCTGTGTACTTTATAGGAGTTGTATGAGACATATTTTGTACCTCGGTCTTTATTAACTATGTGTATAAGTCAGTGATTCTAGCTCCATGACAAAAAATGTGAGAGTCACTGCTTTAACCAAAATGTACAAAGTTATTAAACAAAAATAAACAAAAACCATAATTACTTTCATGAGGTGTGTTAGTCAATGGTGTCAGCAGTTGGTTGAGTGCTTGAATGTTTGGTGTAAAACCTGAATAATTATGGACAGGGCCAACCAAACAAATAGCATTGTTCTAGATGGACCAATAAATAGATGGAAAGAGTGTGCAACAACTGAGATAGACAGCTCTTAAGTGCCCCAGGGGGACTGCACGGGTGCCCAAGCTGCACCAATTTACACCTCCTACCAGGAACACACAAGGCAACATAGAGGACAAAAGGGGAAAACATACAGCAGGCTTAGCAAAAGCAGCAAGGCAGAGTGCTCTCATACTAAGCCGTCAGAATATGAAGTATTTATTCTTTTCCTCAGCACTATATTCAACACACCTAACAGCTTATTGGCCCTGGGCATGTATGCTGGGCAGTTTGACTGGCCAGTTGCTGTTTCCACCAGCAGATTCAGCTGTGCAACAAACTAGTTGAGACAAACCTTCACTGATAAGGTTTTATTTCTAAAATTCAGTATTTTCACAATAAAGGTCTTTCAAACCACCTGTTTAACTGTGAACAAAAGGGATCTTTCAGCAGCTCCCATTCAATTAGTTTCACACTCACACCATTACTGAATTAAGAAGCCAAAATGAAAGCAGTCTGTATGCAGAGAAGCAGCTTGTTTAGCTTGAAGCATTTTTCCTCCTTGCAACTGCAGGAGGAATTTCTATAGAAAGAAACGCTGGGAAAAAATATTTTTTCCTGCTATTTAATTGTTTAAAGGATAGTTAATTACTTTGTTGTAATATAAATGGGCAATGGAGATGTCTTCATCAATAGGAAAAGCAGTAAAACTGAAATACATTTAAGAGGTTAAAATATATAAATGTCTTCACATTTTCCAAAGCTATACAGTGGGGAATCTTTGGCGGGCCGAATCTGGCCGCCGGCCCTTACGTTTGACACCTCTGCTCTACTACATGTAATGTGAAGACTTAATTACAAATTGTAAGCAATTAAATTGGCTCATTTTTTGGAGGGGCAGCGAAAGTCTGATCTACTGGCTCTAGGAACCAGGAAGATTTAGTGACATTTTTTATTTTATTTTAACTGCCGAACATTAGTTGGCTTAAAACCTTTGAGTATTTCACGTGCCCAGAAAAATCTGAACTTACAGAACAAGTATTGTGCAGCCGCATATTTATATCTCTTCCTACCTTGGACTAAGAATAGGTTAGGGGGGACAATGTGTCGACGGCTCCAAACATGAGATGGGACCTCACAAACCTTCCTTTAAATAGCCCTGTCCCACACAACAGGGACGCTATTACAGGCATTCAATGACACAGTAACCTGCATTACCAGCCTCTAATGCAATGCGGTGGCGCTCCACAGATCTTCCCCCTGATCTTAGCTGGCTGTTGAGGGATAAAGCTGAGCGCTATTCGGTCATGTGATTCCTGTTTTTTTCCCTCCTCCTCCTAAGTTGAAAGGCAGGAGCAGAGCGGTGGGGGCCCAGCCTGCCTTCCTACTTGCAGTGGATGCATCGCTTTCTTCTCCCCCTCTTGTCCTTCCAACATTACTGTTTCTCGCTCGGTGGTGATATTTTCAATCCAACATTTCCTTCGCCATGGCGGGGGCTATTATTGAGAATATGAGCACCAAAAAGTTGGTGATAGTGGGAGTTATTCTGCTTTTGTTCCAGGCGTTTGCCTTCATGGTCGGCGGTTTAATTGGTAAGTTGTTTTTTTCCCCGTTTTCCTTGCCTCTATTTTATCTGTACTTTTATTACGTGCTTTTTTCAAGCTAACGTCTGTGTTTGTACGCGCGTGCTCGCGGGTATTTAAAGGTTAACGTGTACAAAAGGCTAAAACGGAAAACTTTTAAGTTGAGTTCATCGCTATTTACCTTGATAGGAGCGGTTATAAACGCTCCCGGTGAAACAAAAGACTTAGGGCGCTAACTTTTAGCCGTATTTTTTACCTTTCGAGACGAAATGGCACCTCCGCTCTAAATCACTGCTTTTGTTTCAAGGTGTTCGCTGCCTGCGTGCCCACAACCAGTTGGCTTCGTTTCTGTGCTTAAAAATAACGCAGAACATCACACTTTTAATGGGCTGTTTCAACACAGAAAAGCTCTGGGATACCTTTTCTTTTCCTTCCCCCGACTACTTTGATCCCAACTCGAATGTTCTCCTCTCCCTCTTCTCCCCCCTCCTCGCCGTATATAATATCTGCTGTGTGGGGGCCCCCAGGCAGCATCTCTACCTTCCTTTCATTCCTTTCTTCCCCCTGCGTTTGTCTCCCCCTTTTTTCCTCCCCAAATCCCCACGGCCTCGCAGGCAGAGCATTAATGTTTCTCCCGTCTTCTACGAGTTTCATTTGCATCGAGGCAGACATGCACAGACCTGCACAGAAACACACATACACGCGCAGCTGTCAACGTTGCATTTTTTTGCCTTCAGGTCTGTATTGGAGTTGCTGTCAAGTTTCTTCAAATCCACCCACTCAAATACGCGCGCACAAGCCCCACCAGCAGTGCAACAGCACGGTCGATAGAAGTTGGGTCCATGTGAAAGATGCCTGTGTTGCTTTTAGAGTCTGGAAACCACCCACCAGCCAGTCCCCCCCTCTCCCTCTCTCTACATGGCTGATAAATTAGCCTGTTTGGTTCATTCCTGGCTGAGATGGTTTTAATGAAGCCAGATTCCTTTGTGTTTGCTCGGTGGCCGGGGGCGGCGAGGGTAATTGAGTAGAAAGGGGGTTTTCTCCCCTTGTTTCCCGACAAACCCGGGAACACGGCATGGGGTCAGCGGGCTGAGGGGATGGCCATTATTCTGGACACACTGGGATAGAGACTGGAGGAGCTGGTGTGCCTCTGGACTCACGGGGTCACTTGATAATTGAACTCCGAGGGGATCCAGATAACTGGGTTTAATTCACTCCAGTGGGTCGTCCTTGTTGCTCTGTGTGCATTTTAATGTTTAATTTCAAACAGCCTTTAGCACAGATAAAGATCCTCGTGGTGGAGTTTTATGACTGTGCGAGAGCCTATAGGTGTGTAAACCGTGGCATCCGCCCTTTAGCTTTTGGTTTGGAGTGAGCAGATATGTTTAGATGTTCAGATAAGTAACAGGATCTTTCTGGACAGGTGCACACGGTTTTCTTCCCTCTGTGGCTACTGCACCTTTGGACACAATAAAAGGTTGAAAAATACATCGGTCTAACAGTGTTACCACTTGTGAGTCGGTGCTTTCTAACAGTAGAGATGGAGAAGAGAGCTTTGCATCTTCTTTGAAACACCACTAATCTCTTTTACAACCTGGATGTGAAAACTCAAAGCTCTGAATGCTCATCCTCACGAGTCAGTACTTCCTACAAGTACCCTAGACGGTGATTACAGCTCATGGCACCATACTAGGAATTTTACTAAGAGCTTAATAACTTCCCAGTAGTTCTTTCAGATTTGCTCAGCATTTTGCATATTTATCTTAGAGTGTGAGATTTTGTTTGCGTATCTTTTGATTGAAGCCATTTCAAAGTTTTATCTGCATGATTTGAGTCCACATCCTGCTTGTTATAAGCCAGTATTCAAATCAAAAATATTTTTTGAGGCATAAATATGTTTTTATGTCCCTTGTCCTAGTTTTGACTTTCATAACTCCCAGGTACCCATTTGTTCTTTTATTCAGTCTGTCGGTGGGAAGTGTATAAAGAATAATAATAAAAAAAAGAAGTTAAATCTGCTTACTTCACTGCTTGTTTCAGTTCAAGTTTAGTGTCTGACTTATGGCTCTGATTTTAAGTTGCATCACTGCAATGTAGTGCAGACCTCCTGGCTTAAGTTTTCAGAGTTTTTACTGTATGAATGAAATTATTTGAAAAGCTGAGGCCATATTGTACTAATGAAGAAAAACATCGACTTTCAGAACTACTTTCTGTTCTGATGGCATCTTAATATGGTTTGTGAAAGGCATACTGGTAATCTTACTGGGTCAGACTGCATAACATTTACTTATCACAGTAAACAACAGCACAAAGGTGTTTATCCTTGTTTTATGTCCGCTTTTCTGATGCATCTCTGTGAGTTGCTCAGAGAAAAGACAGTTTTAGAGAATTCCCCAAAGACAAAGGTCATGTATGTTGAGTTACTTTTAATAATAACTTTTAATAC